CGCTCTATCCACTGAGCCAAACTGGCTAGGGCTGGAAAAGGTATTTAAAAAAGTATACTAGGTAAATACTAACCAAAAGGAAACTGAGATGCTATAGTAATATCAGACAAAATAGACTTTAAGACAAAAAGCATCATTAGGGATAGAGGGGATTAACAGATTATAGCAAAGAGTAGATGAAATTCAGAGGGGAGGTGTAGCAGTTCCAAATTGTATGCACTTAGGGGAAGGGGGGAGGTCCGAGGGGGTAAAGGGGGACAAATGGTGACAAAAGAAGACTTGACTTGGGTGGTGAACACACAATACAATATACAGGTGATGTATTATAGACTTGTACACCTGAAACCTATGTAATTTTATTAACCCATGTTACCCCAATAAATTCAATAAACACTTAAAAAAGTATAAAAAAAGAAAAGAAGGATAATGTAAAATCAATAAATTAAGCTTCCACTGAGGAAAACTAGAAAAAAGAAGAGCAAACCAAATTAAAAGTAAACAGACCACATTTGGCAGACAAAGGTGGAGCTCTTGGACCTCTCGAAGAAGGGGATACATTATCAGGGTAAGCTGTGCTTTTAACAGACTAGAATATATGGATTGTAAGTTTCAGTGTGAAATTCAGAGGAAATATTACACAAAAATGTTTAAAATGATTGGTACAATAATCTGCAGAATCAGAAGCCAACCAGAATTTAACTGTGAGCATCTGGAGTATATATGAAATGATGAAAAATACTGGGAGTTTTCCCCCAAGATTCTTATACAATTTAGCTTTATTTTCATAATTAAATTAAAAAATGTTCATTTGGTGCTAAAAAACACCCAAAACAAACAAACAAATAAACAAAAACTAAATTGTATATACCTAATAAAACAGCCTTAAAATAAATAAGGAAACAATAGGACTATAGAGAGAAATTGGTAAAAAAAACACCATTAAAGTGGCTAGTCAACACATTTCCTCAAGTATTGGTAAAATAGGCAAAAATCAATGAAGATATAAAATATTAGAATAATACAATTAACAAGCTTGAATTATTGAACACCTGTAGAACCCTGATCCAACACTTAGCAAATCCATACTTTTTCATGTATTGTTTAATTTAGTTTAAATTGGATTTTTGTTTTATTATTATTTTTTTGGTCATCTGAAACTAAAAGTATTCTAATTTCATGGCATTAAATCCCTTTTTACTTAAAATAGTGAGAATGGTTTCTGTTTTCTGCAAATAAACCAATAAATACAAATACCAAGTTGAGTTTATCTCAGGAGTGCAGTGTAGTTTACATTGGAAAATTTGTAAATGACATATATATGTATGTATACACAGATTAAAAGAGAAAAAACATGTGAACACCTCAATGGTGGCAGAAAAAACATATGATAAAATTGAATACTAATATACAACACCCATGTTAATATTCTTAGCAAAATAAAGATAGAAAGAGACAACTGTAACTTGATAAAGGGTATCAACCAAAAATGTATAGCCAACATCCCACCTAATGCTTAAAACTTGAAAGATTTTCCATTTAAAATCAGGAACATGACAAGATGTTACTATCTACTTTTATTCAATATGATTCTGGAGGTTCTAGCCTGTGCAGTAGAATAAGATAAAGAAAAAAATAGGCATAAGGATTTAAAAAGAAGAAACAAAAATGCTAGTTTTTCACAGATATTATTGCCTATAGAGCAATCTACAGAAAATATGAGAAATAAGCAGAGTTTAGCAAGGTGTCTGGATAACACATACAAGACAATAGCATTTTTAAATGCCAGCAACAAACAATAAGAAAATGTAATTTTTAAAAAGGCATTATTGGCCCTGACCAGGTTGCTCAGTTGATTAGAGCATTGGCCTTATATGCCAAGGTTGCAGGTTCCATCTCCCATCAGGGCACATACAAGAATCAACCAATAAATGCATAAATAAGTAAAACAAGTCAATGTTTCCCTCTCTCCCTTCCTTTCTTTCTCTAAATATCACTAAATACAAATTTTTAAAAAGGCATTATTTACAATAGTACAAAAATATAGAGGGTATTTGAAAATATAGATTTAGAGAACAAACCAATGGTTGCCAAAGGGAAGGAGGTGGGAGAATGGGAATTTAAAAAAAAACCCCAGTAGGGCACATAATTATCTTTTTAAAAATTAAAAAAAAATGCATATAGTATCCTAGATCATATACAAAAGTTTGGACATATTTTCATCTTTGCTTCCAAAATCCTTCTTGATGTATTTTATGGGCTTTTAGCCACAGTAATCTATTAGCCAAAGTCTTCATTAGAATGGTCCACACTAACTCACTGAAACCTGATATAATGGAGCTTATTATCCTATAATTATAATTTGTATTTACAATGCCTGGTTTCCCTAATTCATTAGTTTATACTCATCTTCCCCCAGATGAGTTTTCAGGGCTATGCAAACCCTACACACATGAGGAATAGGTGATATATCACTTCTGTGGAATGAACTAAGGAATTCTGGGAGAGTACTTATAAAAAAATTTTGAAACAACAACAACAAAATCCACAGTTGTTGCAGTGAGTTGGACTCTAGGCTTTCCAACTCTGCTTAAGCTACATTTATTTTCCCCCCATATGTGTGTGTCTAATTCATCTTCCCCAGTGCAGATCCCTGCTAAGCTCCCTGCAGCTTCTTCCATCAAACTAATGTCCAGACTTCCAGGATATCCTGCCTCATGAAGGTAGGGGGATAGGCAGGGCTTATCTACATAAATAGAATTTAAGTTGTTTTAAAACAGAGATAGTTGGAGACCAAACCAATACCGATAGCTATCAGTTGTCCTGAGGTAAGAGAAGTCCTTTAATTTCCAGGATGAAAAAATGTTTTTGATTGCTAAAACTCTTTGTGAGGAAAAATAATTCCTGGGAGAAACTAGAAAAATTAAATATATCAAATTAAACTTTTCATTATTGCATAATCAGAAAGTGGAGTCATCATTGCCATACACACTGTGGGACACCAGTACTCATTGGCTCCAGAGATCAGTTAGTGTGCATGTGGGGGAGGGGGGTTTCTCTGTCAAAGAGAGAGCAAATCAGAAACTCCTGCTTGCCCCTGCGATTCTTTTCTTTCTTTCTTTCTTTTTTTTTTTTAATATATTTTATTGATTTTTCACAGAGAGGAAGGGAGAGAGATAGAGAGAGTTAGAAACATCGATGAGAGAGAAACATCGATCAGCTGCCTCCTGCACATCCCCCACCGGGGATGTGCCTGCAACCCAGGCACATGCCCTTGACCGGAATCGAACCCGGGACCTCTCAGTCCGCAGGCTGACGCTCTATCAACTGAGCCAAACCGGTTTCGGCTTCTTTCTTTTTTTTTGATATGTTTTTATTGATTCCAGAGAGATAGGGAGAGGGAGAGAGGGATAGTAACATCAATGATGAAAGAGAATCATTGATCGGCTGCCTCCTGCCCGCCCCCTACTGGGGATTGAGCCCACAACCTGGGCATGTGCCCTTGACAGAAATTGAACCTGGGATACTTTAGTCTGCAGGCCGATGCTCTATCCATTGAGCCAAACCGGCTAGGGCATCCATGCGATTCTTGATTTTGGAAGGGTAAAGGACATTCTTTCCAGATAAGTGAACCCCCAAAAGAACAATTTAATGGCAATCATGAAATGTAACATGGTGGTGAATAACATGGATTCTGGAGCCAGTTCCTCTGGATTTGGATCCTAGCTCTAGTAAAGCTTGGTGATCCTGAGCAAGTTACTTAACCTTTCTGAGTCTTGGTTTCCTCATCTGTAAAATGAGGATCCTATGTAATAAAAGCATAATTTGCAAATCAACCAGACAGAGGAATGACTGGTCACTATGATGCTCACTGACCACTAGAGGGCAGACCCTCAACGCAGGAGCTGTCCCCAGCCCGCAGTTCCCGATTGCCTGATCAGGGCCTGCTGGCCAACCTCTGGGTCCCTCCCCCCGACTGGCAGGCTCCGATTGCCAGATGAGGAACGTGGAACTGGGGGTGGGTGGCAGCGGATGCCGGCAGTGCCAGGCCAAGGCAGGTGCCACATACAGAAGGCAACTGGCAGCGACGGCGGGGGGGCGGGGCCAGCTGCAGGCAGCTGGGGAAGATAGGCCCTGATCACAGGCCAGGCCTAGGAACCCTACCCATACATGAAGTTTGTGCACCGGGCCTCTAGTAATATCTAAGAATCCTATGAGGTAGATGTTGACATTAAATAAATAAGTGCATGTAGAACACATTGAACAGTGCCTGGCATGTATCATCTGCTATGCACGTGTTTGCTATTATCATCCTCTTAGGTCTACTATGTTCCTCATTTTTTTCACCTTTTCTCCTGCTGCGAAGTGTCTGAAAGTTAATGCCATTTGAATTTTTTATTCAGTGGAGCACACTCTTCATATGTCACAGTTGTGCAGTATTGAAAGTATCTGACATCAACAGCAAAGAGAAGCTAAGATTGTCTGGAGCCCTTGTATGCCCAATACAGAATATAAAACCCATGCAAACTCAAAGTTATTCATCTAGATATACTTTTATTGCTTGAAATAAGAGCATAATGAGCCCTGAGGGTCAGCATTTACAAATCTGCAGCTAAGTCGGCTCTTCTTTTACCTAACACTTCCCAGAAAGAATTGATCACTTCTTCCTTTTCTTGTGTTCTCATCCCAAATAACTTTTTCTCCATCTGTAATATCTTATGTTTCTTAAAACAAAAAACTTTAAACAAAGACCCAGCTTTTCTCTCCCACCCCCCTCACTTGCCTCAAAACAAGACTATGCTTAAGATATACCCTCTCGAATGAAAGTTTCACTTTTCGCCCCACCCCCCCAAAAAAATCTAAGAAAAAAAAGTTCTTTATTTCTGTCAGGTATTTCCCTAGTATTTCCCAAGCTTATAGAAATGTACTGTTCAACCTAGAAGAATTGTTGGAATTGTTCCGATAAAACTATCACCAGGAAGGCACTACAGGTAGTTATTTACCTTTTGAGAGAATGACATTCAAGGCTGGCTGTCGCTAGAGCAGTCTCCTCCTACTCAAGTCCATCTCTTGGCAGCCTCTCCTCTTCTTGTCAACCCCCTCTTACAGAAGGAGAGTGTTTGGTAGCTCTCTCCCGTCCCCACTCCCACACTCAGAGGCTTCATTAATAGTTCAACTAAAACAGGATCAAGTTTCAGACACTCCCACAGTGAGTGAGAAAATGATCCCACTAGATTAAATTGGAGCCTAGATCAGTAGAAGAATATTTCCACAGCTCTGCCAGGGCTGGGGCAGCCAAGGTTAATAGCGCCAATGATACCTTCTAAGTAGGATCACATGAGTGGGAGAAGATGGGTTCATAGCCAGCTATTTGGTCTATTCAGTCATTCTCCAGATTGGCAGCATCACCTGGAAAATTGTTAGAAATGCACATTCTTGGGCCCTCATCCCAACCTTAATGAATCAGAAACTTTGGACAGGTTGGCATCGGTGTTTTAACCAATTCTTCCAAGTGATTGTGCCGTATGCTCAAGTTTGAGAACTACTTGTCAACAAGATCAGTGAAGCTCTAAAATGTCTCCCTTTCCTCAAAAAGTATTTACTCAGGACATCTGGATCAGAAAAGTCAAAACGACTTCATTTAGCTTTAGTTATTATACATGTTCATATATACCTTGAATGCAAAATTTACTACTGTTTCCTCTAAGGTTTTTTTTTTGTTCATTATAAAAACTTCTATAGAATCTATGCGTGTGTGTGTGTGTGTGTGTGTGTGTGTGTGTGCGCTCTCATAAATATACAGAATACTTATGGAGGGACACACTGCAGGGCTTCTAGATGAGAAATTGGGTGGCTTATATTGTACCATGTGTATATTATCTACTCAGAATTTCTTTTTTCAAGTAGATAAATTTTCAAAATATCACACCTTAAAAAATAACACTCCCTGAAAGATGTGCTATATGTAATAAATATTTACTGAATGTCTATCATGTGTCAATCGCTGTGCTAGATGCTGGGGACAGAATGGAGAATAAAGTACAGTCCATTTGGCTTCTACTGCCCTGCTCTTCCCAGGTTGCCTCTCCCTTCTTCCATAATCTGAAACAAGTATTGTTGAGGCATCCTTTGTGTCCTTTTTCTTATTTCCTTTAACTTTGGTGCTGTCATTCTCTGCAACTACTAGTCTCTTGAAATTGATGTACAGTTTAGATCTCCCGGGCAGATGTCCTATGATTTTATATGATTAATAAGAATTTTTACTTGGCTGTCCCACCAAACAGTCGACCAACTGAGCAAATCTGAACTTCTAGTTAGCACCCTGTTATTGATATTATCCAGAAGCCTTCTTGGATATCACAGCTTTCTTTACTCCATATACAGTTACGTAGAAGGCCTTGTTGGTATTGTCACAATAGCATTTATGGCAATCATTTCCTTTTCAGTATCTAGTCCTTGAAATTCCTCCCCTGAATTTTTGCAGTAGCTATTTACCCAAGTGGATTTCCTGCTTCTAGTCTCTCATCTTCCCAAAATAACCTGGATCAGTGTACTTTAAAATTTTAACTGCCAGGAGTAGGGTTTCCAGATAAAAGATAAATAATTTTTTTTAGTATAAATATGTCCTGTGCAATATTTAGAACATACTTTTACAAAAAATTATGTTTGAAATTCAAATTGGCCAATCTGTATTTTTAAAAATACATATTTTTTTTTATTGATTTCAGAGAGGAAGAGAGAGGGAGAGATAAAGAAGCATCAAGGATGAGAGAGAATCAGTGATCAGCTACCTCCTGCACGCCCCACATTGGGGATCTAGCCTGCAACCCGCTTTGCAGCTGCTTAATTATGGAAATAATACAGTAACAGAATCGACTTCACGGTTTTGTTGTGAGGGTTAAGTGAGTAAATACATATAAAGCAGTTTTAGTCAGTGTCTGGCCCGAAGAACTCAATGCTTCCTATTATTAGAAAATAAATCTGTGCAGTCCTCATTTTATCACTTCCCTACTAAAAACCCGTCACTATATCCCCATCTTTGACCAAAGAAAGTGATCTTCAATCAGTCAAAATACCTTCTTGCCTTCTGTTTCTAACTGTCGATATCTCCCTTATTAGATGGTGAGCGCCCAGATCCTCCTGCCCTACCAGTACCATAGCAGACATTTAACAATTAGTTACTGAACTTCTTTTTTTCACCAGGGACAAATGTCCTTAAAAGAGGAAAAACTATAGAAAGTATTACAGATCACCATATGAAGTTTAAGCATTAGAGCACCTAACGCGGGTTTTACAAAGCCAATCGTCTGCAGAGTGGCCAACTGGGCGAATCCACTACCAAGCGAGGCATTTTAGTAAAATTGTTTTTCACTGACGTTTCTCATCACTGACCTCTGACGCCCAAGAGGTGGGATTAGGCAGACAGCTGACTTCTTCCTCGCCCTCCCTCCGCCACTGGACCGGCTGGTTCAGTGGCCTGCCCTGCCCGTGGCCGACTTGGCGTTTCCATTGGTCAGTTTCCCCGAGGAGGCTGGCCCTGGCTGTGACCCCGCCCCATGTGGGCGGGGCCTCCCCGCCGTAGGGTCTGGGGACGGTGGGGGTTGTTGTGGCCGCCATCTTGGGTTCCGCGGTAGCGGTGGCGGCCGTAGGCTGCCGCGTCGGGGAGTGGCTCTTCCCTCCTGCTCCCCCCCTCCCGCCCCGCTCGGTGGCAGTGGCTCCTCCCACCGGGGGGGTGGCGGGACGGCGGTGGCACCTACGGCTATGGCGGCTACAACTGCTAATCCCGGTGAGGAGACGGAGGACTGGGGCTCCTCGAGGGGAGGAGGGGCTGACGGGGTTGGCAACTAAGGTGGACCCTGGGCTGAGGGGCCGTCGTGGGAGCTGAGGGCACGGGGACGCGTGGTGGGCCGGGAGAGGGCCCTGGGGGGGATGGGATTGACCTGGGGGAGGGGCCCGACCCTGGGGACTTGGCGGAGACTCGAGGTGGAGAGGGAGGCAGCGGGCGGGGGTTGGGGGGTCCCGTACCCCGAGTTCTGTTGGGGTTGGTGTTCGGTAGGGTCCGCCTTCAACCCTCTGCCCACGGGAGCTGCTGGACGCCAAATAGCTGGGTAGAGGGGCTCGGTTTAAAAGTAGTTTAGACTCATGAACGCTGGACCACGTTGCTGTTCATCTGAGGTGGTGCTTTCTAACGTTTAGCTTGAAATTTGAAGTTAAGAATATTTGGGTATGTTCGCACGGTTTCTGTAGACTGTACCCTGCCCCCCACCGCACCCCACCCCACCCACCCCACCGCGCCACGGGCTATCCTTGGAAACTCGCGTTTACGTCTTAGAGGTGCCTCGTAGTGTCTTCAGCTGCTGGGGCGGAGGTTTGTGAAATAAATGGTTTGAGGTTCAGGGCAGCCCTGAACAGCAAGCATTCAACAACCCCCGTTTAAATGCTGTTAGGTGCGGGTCGCAGCGTTTCCCACTTTAACGGGAAAGTTCCGTTCCGAGCCATTGCTCAGTGAACATCTCTTCCAAAGGGGGAGCTTGGACATTGGAAAAAGAGATGGAGCGAGGTGGGGTGCATCAGGTCTAGACAGAGCAGGTCTTCAAATTCCTAGTCCCAGGCCTCTTTCCACGATATTACAGTTACTTACCCATAGGAAGTGTTTCATTTTAGGGATCCTAGTTTACCTGGGCCATTTTCTTGCAAAATGAAATCCCTACCTCTAATAGACTTAAGAGGTGGGGATGAATTTCTTGAAAATACAGCGTGGAAGGGATTCAGTGCTGTTTCCACGCTGCAGTTTAAATCGGGTTTCTTTCGTGCCTGCAAAGTCAGTATTATTTTGCAATATCCAGGTTTTGCTATAATAGTTGAATCACTGTGAAATTTACTCTTGCCTACCACATTTCTGGGAATAGAACTGCTTAAAGCAGTTATTTTGTCACATGTCAATATCATATTTTTAAATCTTTTAAGTTTTTTTTTCTTGTAGAGGAAAAGAAGATAAAATTCCATTGTAGGAAGTGCTTAGTGATGTAATCAAATCGGAAAGATGCTATTATTATAGCCTTATAGTAAAATAACCTAATTCCTATCTGGGGAGTAAAGAAACAAGATTTTAAATCGATAACACATTGCAAAATACTTATATAATCCTAGCCAAGTTGCAAAGCATTTCTGTTATCAAGACGTTGCCTGGGTAAACAAGTTCAGTGCATATGTCCGAAATTATTTCCCCCCCCAGTAGTGTGGGTGGGGTTGCTTTATTTTGTTGTATGTGTGTGTGTGGTTTTTTTTAACCGTAACCGGAATGACAATCACTTGACCACATTTTCATTAGCTGATTAATATCAGCTTAAATCTGTAAGCAAAAAATATTGTACATGTGTTGAATCCTTGCTAATGAAACAGTTGATTTTGTTGATTGACAGTCCACTTCTACAATTCTTAGGTTTATTTTTTGATGCTGAAAAATTCTTCAAACTCTTCCAAGTTATTGATCTCATGTTCAGCACATTATAATTAAATTAGAAAATGTATTTTTTTCCTTCATTTCTTTTGCTACTTTATATCAAAAGAAAGATCATAGATGCATTGTGGACTTTTAGTAGCCTGTTGCTTTTTGGGAAATGAGGACCATGAAAGGAGGGACACAAGGTGGAAATGTACTGTGCTCGGTGAAAAAAAAAAATAGTTTTCAGGTCAGAATTCTTTGTCGCATGGTCAAATCTTTTCTTAGAGCCATTTTAGGGACTAGCGACATCATACCTATTTCTTTGATTTTTTTCTACTTTTTTTGCTGGTGGTTATTTCCCTACAGTTTATGTTCTGTCTTTACATATGTCTGCAAAGGGCTTTTGTATTAACTGTTCTCTCTAAGCTTCATTTAAGTTAATTCTTAGCATTAATAATAATGCTTGATCATTTTAATTGTACTTGGAGTATGATTTAGGGCAGTGACGGCGAACCTTTTGAGCTCTGCGTGTCAGCATTTTGAAAAACCCTAACTTAACTCTGGTGCCGTGTCACATGTAGAAATTTTTTGATATTTGCAACCATAGTAAAACAAAGACATATTTTTGATATTTATTTTATATATTTAAATGCCATTTAACAAAGAAAAATCAACCAAAAAAATGAGTTTGCGTGTCAGAGGTGACACATGTCATAGGTTCGCCATCACTGATTTAGG